ATTTGTCTTATTTTTTTTTGTATATTTTTAGGATTTTTTGTTACAATGTTGAGAGGGTTTGAGGATGAAGGAAATTAGTGACATTATACCTTGAAGGCTTAACTGGATAATTCTCCCCATTCCTGTATGTTACACATTTTTATCATGACTGTGTTGCTCTCCCAATCAATGGGTAATCTATTTCATTGACCATGGGGCTGCTCTGGAAAACAGAACATTAATAAATGTAACAAGCAGTGGCAAGGAAATGATTGTCAACTGGGACCTACTTGCTTGTTGTTCTTGTTATCGCTGTATAAATAAGTCTGGGATGGCCTAATGGACGATGAGAGACACGTGACCTAATCATCTCATTACTCTGGCCTGCCAACAGGCAGACAAGTAAGAAGATCTTAAATCAACTAATCCTCCGCTCATCAGTCAGCTGACTGTGGACGCGCGAGCCAACCAGGCAGCAGGTAAGTCAGGCCCAACAAAAACAGTCTAGCTAACATAGCATGAGTCTGCTAGACTGATGCTTAAAAACCAGCAATTTGGGGTTACATATTACACAGCAAAAACTAATTAAATGGCACTAAAATTAATCATTATTCACTAATTACACCAATAAACGCCTTCTTATGTAAGGGTCTCACCCAGGCACAGACACGGGTAACCTTGCTACAGACACCAGGAAACAGAAATGGCACGGCAGTGGGATTAGTACTAGAAAATAATTAGAAATAAAGAGATCAAAATAAAAGGCGATGAGAAAGTCTAAAAACAGTGTGATCAGAATTATATCTTCACCAATGAACAAGGCAAGTTGCAGGAGAACATTTTATCAAAGGAAATAGATGAAAAGGTTCAGTGACATAAAAAGATACAAAGTTTTGGAGAAAAAAAGTACAATGAATCGGAAAGGTAGACTGCACTATTGAACAGGAAATGAAATATGGGCTAAATGACCCAGTCCCTACACTACACAATTCCCATTAATAAGAAATCAATTGAGTAACAAGGAGCAATCAACTGCCAGAGCATGAAGTAGTTATTTGCTGAGCTCTCTGGTTTTTAGCCTGGTTGCACTGCATCAGTAGAGCTACTGTAGTACAAGTCTCTTCTTGTCTTTTTATCCTGATGATCTAGTTCACAGCATCCTCATTCTGTTAATCTCATTTAATTATACTTATTGTCATTCCACTTGGAGAACATACCCTTTAATTGGCATAAATACTCCCAGTTAGACGACAAGTACAGCTATTTGCAAAGCAATTTAACTTTTAATCATTAAGTCTGCGATTTTGCAAAGTTGGTATCCTTGCACTCTGTGCAGTTAGCTTTAAATGACTTAAGTCAACTCCTCCCAGAATCATGAGAAATAAATGGATTTTTTTTATGGATTTCTTATGATGATCATGTATACATAAATATGCCAAAGAACACCTCTTGGGAGAATTTAGAGAATTATGTGGATAAGCATTTTAAGTGAATCTTAACCTTAATCCTTTGCTTTACTGGAATTTGTCCATTTGTCTGGCATCAATAATGGATAGTAAAGGATAGAAAAATAATAAACTACCTGTAAAACCTGAGTGTTGAAAAGTCTCCCAGAGTCAAGCCTACATGGGAACTGGACTGTGTGTTCAGTAAGTGTGCAATGGACACAATAACAACTTCAATCACCAAATAATACATAGTCATTAAAGGCTTACAAAGCTCAAGATTCAAGTAATTTCTTTTCCACAAGACAATACAAAAGGATTTTTTTTAAAAAAAATACAGAGTTCAATTTATTAAATTGTATTTGTTCTTTAAAAGGAACATAAAGTATAAAATTTTTAAAAATGAAAATATTTTTTTCAAAGCATTTTTAAGTCAGGGATCATAACAAAATGCAAAAAGTAAAAAAACATCAACAGATGAAAACTACTAGGTCACAGTTGTCTTCAATATAAGGAAATTATGAGGAATTAGCTTCATTTATACTGCTGTCATCAGTATAAGTTTAAGATGGGACTCACTGATTTTCCTGAGAATTTAACCTAATACATTTGCTGCATTATTGTAAATTCCAAACTCCAGCTTAAACATTTCATAACCCTTGGGAAAACTTATTTTGTGGGGACTTAATAATGACCTCAAATATCACATCCTTCTCAGAAATCAAGTGTAGCAAAGTACAAAGAACATAAATTTACCATCTTAGAATATATGATTTGAGACAATTAGTACATCCCAAGACTGCAAACATCACCACTATCATGTTCTAAAGGACTGCTTTTACTCCAAAATGAAACCCTGTACTCATTAAGTAGACATCCTCTTTTCCCTTGGTAACCACTAATTTGATTTGTTTTTCTGGATTGACTTATTCTAGTACATATAAACGTAGTTACATGTGCCTAGCATCATACATTTTTTAATCAGTTAATACCATATCATTTTGAACTTAAAAGACAGTGACGAGTGTAACTTATGACTGCTCTTTGGGCTGATGAGGGAGGGAGACTTGATTGGGGGAGGGGGAGGGAAAGGGGAGGCGGCGGTGGGGAAGAGACAGAAATCTTTAATAAATAAATAAAAATTAAAAAAAAATAAAGGTTACAGTGAAAGACAGCATGTGAGATAAGTGAGCAGTTCCTTTTCTGAATGTAAATTCATTGAGGCAAACAATACAGCTTTAACTTTTTTAGAAGTCATGTTCACTGAGACTAGCCACTCAAAGCAATTTGATATCAGGGTTACTGGGATAGTGTGGGAAATCAGTACTGTTGCCTCTGCTTATGTAAAATAGGTAAAAGTGATTAGTGTAAGTAATTAGCAAAAGACCTTCAACTAACAATTACTCTTTCTGTAATTTTATCCTTGAACATATAGTGGTTTAATTTTGATTTCTATAGCCCATTTTGGTAAAATAATATGGCTAAACCTGAATGCCATAATTAAAATGTTTCAAAACTACAAGTCTGTTTACTGTTGAGCCTGGAGAGACTTTTTTAAAAGCTGAGTACATTATTTAAATAACGCTGCTGACAAAATCCACTAAATTTGATTAGCACACCAGGCTTTTTAAAATTCCATATAATTAATCGAGGCATTTTGATCACCTCATTAGAAATTAAGCCAAAGAATAAATAAGCATCAAAACAAAAACTTACAAAAAAGTTTTCAACAGAAAAAAATATTCTGGGATATCAAAAAGCAGGGTGTTTTGTTGAAGCGCAGGTGGAGGCTTCTACACATGTAGAAGCCCGAGGACACCCTCTCTTAGGAAGTATTGTCCACCTCTTTAAAGAACATCTCTTTTCTCTTCTTGGCCAATTCACCAATTGGGCTAAACTGGCTGGCCAATTTGTCCACTTGTCTCTACCTCCTCAGCTCTGGGGTTACAAATGTGTGCCAGCATGCCTGGCATCTTTACGTGTTCTTGGAATTAAACTCATGTCCCTGTGCTTGTACGGGAAGTGCTTTACCCCAACTGAGCAATGACCCCAGGCCCCCTCTTTTCAGTCTTTGAATTCCTCTTTTCTCTGATCCTGTCACATTAACAGACTAACAATGTCTACTTTTGGCTAGAAACAGAAGAAAACTGTTTGACTTTTATCAGTTTTCTTGACAAATATTAAATAACAATTTATTTACTTAATATCCTTTGTCAGAAAAATTTAAATAATTTTTGCGAAAAAAGCAAAAACCAATGACTTTTATCTCTAATGGCAAAGGGTAACTAGACCTAAGAATCTGATATCAAGAATTCACTGAAATGTAATCTTATTACTTTCCACACATGAAATATTACCATCACTAGAGATAGCAATAAAAAAGCCATTATCTAATATAATCATGCAAACATGTAAATAAAATGATCTTGGAGATGCTAAAACTATATTAGTATTAATGAAAAAGAAATAATTTATTTCCCTGGTCAATCAGTTGTGAAATGATTGACATTTCATTTAAGAATGGAAACTTTAATCCAGCATGTCAAAGGGCTGGAAAATTAAATATCTGTAACAACAAATTTTTACTGTATTTATATAATGTGTTAACAAATCAGGTTTGTAACCCAAATTTACTTCTCTGCAGTTTACTAAGGTCAAGTCACCCTACACCTAATAAATGTAACATCAATACAACCAGGAAATTTTGAAATGTTCTAAGGTAACAAACTTCAGGATGATCAATTACAAAATTAGATGTCAGATATTTACATATATGCGGTAAATGTATGTATTTTTTCAGATGCAACAAAATTCCACACACTTTTAGTAAAATGTCTCAGTTGGGCAGGAATTTCCAAATTAACATACCACAATTCATTCGTGTATTTCCTTTTGACATTACACAAAATTTCTCCCTAACAATAAAAAGTGAAAAACTTTCCTTTATTTAAATGTTCTTTCTCTTTCTGCATCTGTGAAGTGAAGGAGGGATCCTTGTGAGGACATATTTCTATTAGACAGAATGCCTCAATATTCTCAACTATTATCTTTCAAACAATCTTCTAAATAACAAGAAATAGTTACATAAAAGGTGTCTTCAAAAGAACCAGCCTTCTTTTTCTAGATTTCACTTGACCTAGACTTCACTGTAACAAAACATTTTTTTCCTTCTGAAAACCAAGTTTAGATTAATACTAAGAAACCTATTGGCATATTATTTCAAGTACAATGGGATGAGCTAGTCCTGAGTTTGTTTGTTTTAAAGGCATAATCAAAACTCTGCTTCATAGTTATTAAGAAAGCAAAGCCATATACACCAACATTAGATAACCAGACAAGCACAGTGTCGAAAAAATTCTTTCTATGCAAAAAGTTTTGTTCAGAGATTTGACCTAACTGCTCTCATTCATTTCTTTTTGTTTGTTTTGTTTTGTTTTTGAGACAGGGTTTCTCTGTGTGGCTTTGGTGTCTGTCCTGAAACTAGCTCTTGTATATCAGGCTGGCTGTGAACTCTCTACCCCCCCCTCTACCCAGCTCGACCCCTACCCCCACCCCCCACCCCCTACCCAGTGCTGGGATTACAGGCATGCCACCACCACCACGGGCTTTCACTAAAACAATTCTTCAGGTAACAATCACATCTACTTCCAATGTAGTATGTCACTCATGAAAAAAACTTTAAAGTGTTTGAATAGCCTTTCCTCACAACATTTAAAACATAAACCCAATGTCTTTTAGTTGGGGATGGAAACATACACACAAAATCTGTTTTACACCAAAATCCAATAGTCAAATCTCTACAAATAAAATCTCTTATCAATATAGTAACATAAACTCCCACACCTTCAATGTGTACAGCTTTGCTAAAAACACCATTATTACCAATATTACTAAGGTTCTCCTATTCAATGTGAAAACACAGGTAAGAATACAATACTAAAAAATGCAAATAGTGTAAAGACCTAAAAACAGACTCTATACATGATAAATCAGAAATTTACACTTAGTATTTCTCACTGTTGTGTTGCTGGGATTCTCATTAAATATCTTCATTGGACTTAATCCAGTATTTCTTTATTTCTACACTTTTCTTATTTTAAAAATCTTAGACATTTACCAGATTTTGCAGTCACTAAAGAGAACGAGACTGCTTGACTAAAGGTAACTGATAATGAACTAAAATTTGCAGTGTAATTTACCTTAAAGAAAGTCAACACCATGTAAGATACTAGGAAAATTTTTAAAAACTGCTTTGTTTTTTAACAAAAATCCAAGTCATAGTACCCAATGTATTTTTATCACATGACTAGAAAATTAACATATACACATATATTTAAACAGTTTTAATAAATTATGGCTCTTCATTATTATTTCAAATATGTACACACCTACACACTCACCTGGATAATAGAGGAGAAACAGCCGATAAGCCCCTAAGATTATGAGGCTTCAACCATAGATAAAAAACTAGTCAACTACAGAATACTGAGAGTGGGATAAAGTCTTCCTGAGGGAAAAATGCCCCAATTGGCTATCCAATACCAAGTGGTCAGCCCTGAAATAATAGACACATAGGTAACATTCATGGACTAGCATGTTGTCTTTATGTATTTAGGAATGCACACAAACACAAAATTAAAAGAGCCCATGAATTTGAGCAAGAAGGGTACATGGAAGGTGCTGGAGTGAGGAAAAAGACATTAATTTTAAAAGTTAAAAAAATTAAATTGCCTCTTAATGTGTATAAGGATCACCTGGGTACCCGAACACAGATTGTTGCTTCTGACCCCCAAGAAAACTGTGAGGTCTCAGAAACAGCCTAAAACTGACAAAGAGTATAATATAATCTCTGGTGAAGGAGGCTGAGACTAAAAGTGAACTTTGATATTGGCCTCCATTCCTAGACTTGACCTTTATCTTGGTAACTACCAAAGACAGAAATCAACAACCTACTAGGCCAATATCAAAACCATTTCTTTTTCATGCTTAAGAGATTCCCATTACATATCTTAAGACAAACAGTCATGCCAGAAACTAGCTTTCCCCTAACACTAGATGGATGAAACCACTTTGAAGATGTTGAAGAAGTTGAAAAAACTTAAGTTTTACAAATTTAAAAACTTCATGTTCACCAGTAAAACCTAAGTCAGCAATAATAAGCATCAATCAGCAACGCTTAGAACATTTGGAATGTTACTATTACAGAAACAATATGATTGTGTTTGGAAACTGTCAAAAAAGTATTAAAATTTTATCCAGGTCAAAGTTTCTCTTTACAAGTGAACGAGGCATGTAAGTTCATTTTAGGAATTTGAATATATGTAGCAGAAAGAAAATATTTTCACAATATAATATGGTGGCACAATGAAAAGAGAAGAGCAAACGGTACGTAAAGGAAACGCATGATGGAGCAGAGCCGCACACCACTCAGGATATCCCTGCGTCCCCAAGCTCAGCCATTCAGAGTTCACAGCAGAAGGCAGAAAGGTGTGGAAAGATTGGTGGTTAGCAACTTGCCCTTGAGAAGGAAGAAAATGAAGAGCAGGGCAATAAAAAGAGCTCAGGAAAGAATATGTTCATAAAACATGGAAATGATATGGATGACCATCACACTTACACCTGGGGATCTGAATCAGACTGTGAGAATTATGAATTGCATAATTATGAGACTATTTTGATAACTGAAAAATTTCAAACGAACTATGATGTTTGTGGAAGACTGTTGGAAATCCAGATGCAGTTCATTCATATAAGGTGTTAACAGAACATAACAAGTGACTATAAATTACTTATAGAGAAAAGTAAAAACATGAAGAGGTTAGTAAAATGCAGAAGGAGCTCCAAGAAACAAAAGTGGAGTCACACAACATGTAAATGTAAGCAGAAATTGGACTCCTCAATTTAGTCTTGAAACAACCTCAAAGAAGAAATGCTTGTCTTTTAAGTGAAAAAATAAGGACGTTACATTTTTTAAAAATTCGTAATTCAATAAAGAAGTAACAACTTGAAATTTGTCTTAGGAAACAATGGAAATGAAAAAAATCTAAGAAATGAATGAAGTAAGAAACAAGCAACGGGTCAAGAAAATTTAGAGAATTTAATAAGAAATCACACTGCTTCAGTCATCAGACAGAACTCAAAGTTCAAAATCTGGGATATAAAATCTTTAAAATGGATTAAGTATTAATGAAGAAAAGCTGGAAAAAATTAAGGGATGTTACCTGGGAAAACTGGAAACTCATCAAATGAACTGAGAAAGACTAAAGATACCTGAAAGAGATCAATACCCAATGACTCATACAAGGAAGCACCACACATCTTGGCTAAAAGCATGGAGCAGATGCCATGCCTCCGAGTGCTCTTGTATTGTAATTCCTGCAGGTACTTGGGACCCAACAGATGTTTCCTTCCACAAGAAAATTTGGTGACTGCGACTTGGGGCCGACCAACAATCTCAAGAGCCTTCCAAAATGTAAGAGAAAACCATCCGTCCTTCTGTCATAAGTCAGCAGGAACACCCCAATTTCAAATCTGCAATCAGAACTCTAAAAAACAAGTCAGGAATAGTCAAATAAAACAGAAAGAGAATAAATGAGCATCTCTATCTGGAAAGATTGGAAAGTACAAACTCATCACATAGTAGCAAAGTCTGAGGGTAAAATATGGCCCGTGAGAAGCACTCTGAGGAAATGAAAAGCAGGCGTACTACTGACTTTGTTCTTATTGTTCCGTTGTTGCAAAGCTTTACATACAGTTTGGAACTCAAAACTCTGACATCAGTGTCTGTGTCATGGCGCACTGCTAAGTCCGGACAGCTACTAGCTCAAAGGCAGTCATGCTAGTTTTTTTTTTTTTTTTTTTTTAGATTTCAGGTTTCTGATATAATTCTTGTTTTTACTTTGATAAAATACAGAATAGTTAACTTGTTTTAAGTTAAACATACAATAATGTATTGATAAAGATAACAAACTTTACATTTTTAAAGTTCCCAGAGTTCTCATTTTTAAGAGATAGTCTTTTCTTAATTTAATAAATGTAACTAATCCAGTAAGTTTTAACTTTCTTTTAAATGCTTTATCTTCAATATAGTTAGGAAAAAATGCCTATGATTAGAGGAAAACTTGGAAAGCTTTGGATTAGCCTTGAGATGAATTCAAGTTCGGTTGTAATTCATAGTACTTTGAAACACTCATGTAACGAATTCATCAAAGACCCAGGGAGGAATTCTCTGTATGACACTGATAACCCTGTAAACCCAAATGTCCAACTTCTGCCTTAAGCTCTGAGTAGTTTCTTAAATAAGACTATAATATTTTACAATACTTACCACACACTCATGTCTATTTTTGTAAAACATGATCACTGTTATTCTTTAGGATTTCATTAGTACTAAAACTGTTTCATTAAGCAAATATTTGAGCTTTCAGTTCCTGTGTCTCCCAAAGTTGCTTCCACATCACTGCAGGCTAAAATGCAGTGATATCAACTGCAATTAAATATTAACTACCATGTAGAATGAGTCAGAGTTTTTCTGTCTGAAATTTCATGCTAGCTGTAAGACTCAGGTTTTACTAAGTATCCATTTTTGGATATCTAAAGCTAACTGCAACAATAGGTTCAGAAAACAGCCAAATTAGCTTAACTCAAATGAGATTTATGTCTAGTTTGACTATCATTTTTTTCACCCAGAATAAATTGTAAAAAATATTTATTTGAACAAAATAAAAAAGTAGATAAAAACAGTTTTCATGTACATATAGTGAGTGTTATTAAAATATCCATTTAAGTTACTGAAAAAGAAAGGTGAAAAAATGTTAATCATCTCAGTTGTGGAACTAGATTTAAGTTTACGAATCATAAATTTTTAAAAATTAAAAACATAAAACAAAAGGTTAATGTTTGTATTACCTAAATAGGCACATTCTTCAGAAAAAAAATTTAAAAAGCAAAGTTATATTTTTATATAACTTTTTAATATAATTTTTTATTTTATATAATTTTATATTCCTATTTTTACCTTTTGGCAGAAACAAAAGTTTTTTTTATTACTGTTTTTTAATGCAACTCAGACTCACAGTTGAAAAAAAAGTTTAAGCACCGAAATTACAAACTCTCCTAAGTTAAACGGCAGATGAGGCAACACAAGTGACTAGTTTTACCACCAACTCTAATAAGAACTTGACGCTGCCAACACATCCGGAGCAGCTGAGAATCCATGTTTAATGCCCAAGGATCCCTCTTCCCCAGTCTGACTACCTTATCTGAGAAACAGAAACCAGTAACTACAAAGCACTCTGAAAACCACAGAAAGAGCAGACACAGGTGGTTTTCAACATCACCACCCATTTCAGCTTAGCACTGCCGGCATTCATCTAGACAAGTCACTTCCGTCTCTGCCTCTGGAATCTACTTCTAAATACTGACACTGCATGTTCATCTCTTTAAAACAAGCACATTAAGTGAACTGGTACACATCAATTTGAAAACTGTAGGCTCTTGACTATTCACAACCACACTTGATCTTCCCAGAAACGACACAATTCTTATGTTCTAACAGAGCAGTGTGTGAAGCAGAGCTGTGGGAACGTTTCAAGATTATCAACCAAGAGAGGTCTCTGTTTGATGATAACCGACAAAATTTCAATTTTTAAAATGTCTTAAAACAATACCAGTCTATTTTTATGGACATATAGTTCACTATATAAACATTTTAAAAGCCCCTGAAAAAGTCAAACCCTTTGTATTCTGAATATTTAAAGTTTATTCAAACAATATGTCAAATTCAAACTTATAGTGAGGTATATTTTCTTTTCAAACATTAGATACCTAGGAAAATATGAAACACCATGAAAAATTTCAAGTTAAATTCATAGGCTTGCTTTGTTTTTACTTTAATCTGTCATATAATACATTGTGCCTTGACTCCAGATATGTAATTTAATGAAAAAAGAACTGAATATGATCATTTTCAGCTTAAGAGTAGTAAGAAAAGAGGATGAACGCATTTCTGTGAGTTGTTTTAAAAGCATGAAGTCATTATTGTGCCTTTAGGTAAGTACTGGAGATCACATACGATCACTAATTAGAAAAGTATCAGAAAAAATAACAATCTTCTGGCAGTGTTTAAATAACTGAATGTGTTCTGTGAAAAAAATCTATGCAGGAAAAATTTTGAATCAAAGTTTTGCTTCTGATTATATGGGCTTCAACCCACAGAAAACATAAACAATAAATTTTTTGGTCAAGTTCTTTTCAGTTTGAGAAACAAAAATTTTTAGAACTTAAATATGCTCACCATTAAAATTAGTAATTTGAAAAATTATGCAGATAAAGATTAATTACCCTGTCTAGCAGTGTTCCAACAATTTCACACATTTCAAATATTAAGGCAATTTTTTCCAAGTAACAGTACATTATAAAAATATATGTCACAGCAAAACAGTATGTACATAGTGACAATAAATTTAGTTAGTTGTAATCTTTAATACATCAATACAGTGTCACATATTACAAAGAACTCAGACCAGGTGCTTGCCTGTATGTGCAAGTAAACACAGTTCTTAGAGCACGGGCTTTAAAACTGAGCGGAGTGAACGTCCTTCTTTAGTGAGTTCTCGAGTCACACACATGCACGGCAGTGGGACTGCTTCCTCCCGTTTCTCTATAACATTGTAACTGCAGTTCTTCAAGTGGTCAGCCATGCTTAGGATGTCAGCAAATTTCCATTCATTAACAGAACAGAATGCAGTACTGAATCGCCATACCTAGAAGAAAATTCTACTTTAGATTTAAATAGTCCAATAGACAGAAAATCAGCATGCCCTTTTGGCTCTGCTCTAGCTGTTGTAATTCATACAGAAACATAAAATATCAAGTTACAAACAGCTTAAAATTAAAAAGGAATAAATCCATTGTTATTCAGGCTTGTCAAAAGTGGTGTTATCCTATAACTTCCTCCTATAAACTTTTAAAATCATCTCTAGGTTACTCATGATACCAAATGCAATTTGTTGTGTAGTAATATTACATTGTCTACGGAAAAATGAACAGGAATATGTGTGCAGTGCCATTTTCAGTGCATTTTTTCCTAAATATTTTCTTAGCTGCAGTTGGATTAGTCTATACGACTTGGAAGCCACAAAGACAGAAAGCCAGCTTCACATGGTAAGCAGTAGATGCTCTAGAAAGAAGCAGTACTGGGATAGGGGTAGCATTCATAACAATTTCTCAAGAGGGTAATGGCTTCCAAAGTAGCCAGATGCCTTAAAATTCAGTGACAACAGAACAATTTTCAGCTAACAAGAGCAACCATCATTGCTGCCAGGCCTATAGTCCCAGCTACCCAGGGGATGAGGCAGGAGGATAACAAACTTAAGTCCTACCTGAACTACCAAGTGAATTCTAGGCCAGCCTGGGCAATTCAGTGAAGGCCTCCATTATAGTAAAAAAGAAAAAAGGGGACTGGGAACCAGTTAAGTAAGAATATTTGCATGGCACACAGGAACCCCTAGGTTCAACCCCCAGAACCACTATAAATAAATATATAAATAAATATTTGACAGGTTACCGTTCTTTTGAAAGTGGGGGCAGTAATAGGTTAATAAAAGTAATGTAGAAATGCATGCTATCTAACACACTGCAGGTGTTTAAGTGTGAACACCAGGGAGATATATCTACAATCTTTAAGACAAGAAATAAACATCAGCATTCTAAGTCAAGGTGACCAGAGTATGAAGTGACAGGAGACTGAAGAGGCAAGGATAAGATTAGGAGACAGTTTAAAGGCTTCATAAAGGGGTTGGCCTCTATTCCTGAGGCAATGGATAAATATTAAGTAAGTTTTAAGGACTACATCAACTATAATATAAAATATAATTAAAATACATAATTCTAACTTTTATATAGAGACTATATTGGAGAAGAACCCAAAGCTGTGGTAGTAATCTAAAAAGACTCAAAAGGTAAGATTGTGAGGCAAATCTGAGAGGTTTGAAAAAAGAACCAATCAACTAGAATTTGGGAATAAAGCGGATAGAAAAGAGTCAACCCTAACACTTAAAGCTTTGGTTTGGGCAGCTGAGTAAACAAAGATGCTACTTCCTGAGATTAAGTGGGTAGAGGGGCAGAGTAAGCTGGACATCCTAAGTCTTGGGGAAGCTATGGGATAATCAAGCAGACTTGTTCAGTAGATGTTTGCTTGTTCGTTTAGGCTCAACAGAGAAAACAGGACACAGAATCTGTATAAATGACAGCAATTTAATCTTCAAGACTAGGTCTCTGTAGAAATTTACACTACCATATATATATATATATATATATATATATATATATATATATACTAGTGACTAAGGACAACAACAATTACAGTATCTTACTCCAAAGAACAGAGATGCCCTCGATCACTTAGAAAATAAAAATACACATATATAGCTAGGTGAAAAACCTTCATGTCACCAGAAAACGGATTCAAAATAATTTATATATTCATTCTTTGGTCAAAGTCTCAATAAAACAGAGAAGCAGACACAGACTTATTAAAAGACTAGAGCAATGAGTAAAGATAAAACCTAAGGGCCAAGAATAAATTAACATAAATCTGAACACTATGCAGCCAAATACTGTTTGTTCGTTTTTATGTAAAGATTCATATTACGTGTTGTGGAATATTTTAACTATGCAAAGATGTGTTAAATTTGTTTATGCTGTGAAATATTATTTCAACTGTATAAGGTGTGTGTAAATTTGTTTTTGCTGCATTTGTTTAACAATGTAAGATGTGTGGTTAATTAGTTAAAGATGGGCTGAACTTGTTTCATGTTGCCTGACGATGGCACCTGAGTGCTCTAATAAAAAAACTGAATGGCCAGGGCTGAAGAGATGGCTCAGAGGATAAGAGCACTGACTGCTCTTCCAAAGGTCCTGAGTTAAATTCCCAGCAACCACATGGTGGCTCACAGCCATCTGTAATGAGATCTAGCGCCCTCTTCTGGCCAGCAAGCAAGCATACAGACAGACAGAACACTGTATACAAAATAAATAAATAAATAAATAAATAAATAAATAAATAAATAAATCTTAAAAACAAAAACAAACAAACAAAAAAAAAACCTGAATGGCCAACAGCTAGGCAGAAGAAGTATAGGTTGGGCTGCTAGACAAAATAAGTAGGAGGAGAAATCTAGGCTCGAGAGATGAGAAGAAGAAAACAGGGATAAAGAGAGGGACACGTCAGGGTCAGTCAGTCATGCAGATGCCAGTCAGCCAGACATGACAGAGAAGCAGCGAAAGTAAGATATACATAAGGAAAGCAAAGGTAAAAAGCCTCAAGGCAAAGGGTAGATAAAGAGAAACAGGTTAATTTAAGTTAAAAGAGCTAGCCAGAAATGAGCCTAAGCTACGCTAATAAGCTAAGCTAATAAGAAATCCCCATGTCATGATTTGGGAGTTGGTTGATGGTACAATTATGGGTCTCTATCAGAGGTACTGTGATTGCCCTGGATAGAGCTTTTAATAGAAGAAGCTAGGCAAAAACAGAGTAAAAACAGAGTGTAAATAAAATTTAAGTCTACCTAAATTTCCATATCAATTTCTGAATAATATTCTTCCCCTTTGGCAGTAAGCCCAAAGTCTCCATACACAGTAACAAACTCTATTCTTCTCACCCAGCATCACTCACCCATTCAGGCCATCACCTAAGCAGTTTGTTGGTCAATTACTAGGATAACTGTTGTAACAGCTATAGATATGTATATGTGTGTTGTGTGTACATATTTCTCATCCTGAAAAAGACGCTATTAAGAACAGAAACAACTGAAGGCCAAAGGAAATCCTCTCCTAGGTTCCTCAGCTGGGCGACAATGTTTCAGACAAAACTAGAAGATGACAGGTAGTAACACAGACACAAAGTGGTTAGTGAAGAACTGAAGGAAAACTGGTTATCTGAAGACACACAAGTATTAGAACAGACTTTAAAGCCAAGAAATCTATGATATACTAGTGACGGTATCTAAGAATTCTAATGACTTTAGTCCTCTATTGTCACTTTTAATATGTGCCATCATATTGACTTAGTACATTATAGGATATGGTCACTTTTTCAAAAAGTTATTAGATGTAGCATAGCATTAATAAGTGCCTATTTTATGTTAAAAGAGATTGATAAATTAGAATTAAACTAACCTTTTCCTTTATCTGCCATGATGAATTTCCTTCTGGATACTTCTTTTTCCCCCATTGCAATATTACCATTCCACGAGACTGAAGTAGACTGCCACACACATCTCTCATTAGCCTAGATACACACGCAAGCTGGCATAAACTGAAGCCGTCAAGAAAGCCTGCAATATGTTGCAGTACCTCAAATGGGAGACTGCTTAGATGGTCACTACGTAATCCCAACACACAGTTTCTAGATGGCTCTTCTAATACTGTAGACACACATGGCTGAACTCCAAATGATCTTAAATGGCGATCATGTATAATCTTTGCTCCTTGTGTGGATGGACAAAATCTACGCTGAGAGTAGGTGCAACCATAGTAAGCCAAAGGACACCTCTGTTCCATCCACCCATTGAGTCCAGCATGAATGTCACCATGCACATTCTTAAAATGGGAAGAAAATTCTTTTCTTCTAAACAACTGTCCACATACAAAGGTAAACATTGAACGCTGCTTAGGCTGGTACCTAGCAACACATTCCAAAACTAAATCCAGCCCAAGTGTCTGAAAAGGGCTTGGATTTGAAAGCTGTGGATTGGCATGATCACATGCTGAAGCTGAAGCTATTTCTCCAACCATTGTATCTGTAGCTAATATTGCAGATGGAAGTGAAAAAGTCTGTGTTCCAAAGTCAACATGATAAACATCAACCATGCGGCTATCAGATATACCCCTCCCACCTGGAGAATCTCCCAGACAAAACAGTAATGCTGCTGTAATCAGATCTATTCCTTGGAGGTCCATGGGATCTTCTGCAACTTCTAAATCTGATGTATCGACGGCTTTGTCTTCCTTTGGTATATACCATGAATTAGAAAGAAACTTGAATGAAGGAGCATGACTGAAGTGTGATTCATCAAGATCCTTCAAGCTCCCTAAGTCTACCTTCTTCCAATACAAGTCCTCCTCACCATCTTCATGTGGCATGAGGATATGTTGAAATGTGCTATCCGGCAAAGCACTGAAAGGAATTATTTCCCTAAGTTGCGCTGCTACTAAAAGTGAACTGGAAGGTTCTGAAGTACCATCTGCTGCCGCACATTCTCCATTTTCTATATTTCTTTCTATGGAATCAGCTGGAAAACTGTGATCCTGGTCTTTGACCTGTGAACACGTATTTTCCAAAGGAAAGCCATTACAAAGAGTAGAAGTACCAACAGAACTTGCACGTAAGTCACACAGTAAATCACTTGAACCATTTTGTTCAAACTGAGCATTCTGACTTGTGCCATTATGGTCAACTCCACCTACTGCTCCTATCTCATCCTCATCAAGGTGGTCCTGGTCTTTTAAGTTTCTGTCCTGAACGCTATCTCTGTTATTCTCATCCATATCATCTGTGGTGGCATGAAGACTTGTATTTAATACACCAATGTCTCTTGTGGCAGAATTCAGGATATCTAAAGCAGCAGCCAAACTTCTGGTTGTTTCTACAGTAGCTTGATAAAGTGCACCATAAGATTCTTCATCAACAGATACTAACCCATTAGTACATGGCATTTCCTGAACACTTGATTTCACTGAAATTTGTTCTCTAGGTTCAGATATTTTATCAGTTGCTTTTGACATCATGGTGGCCACTTTGAGAGATTCCAAAAGCATTCTTTGATCTTGAAGAGCCAAGGCCATGTCTAATTGTGCCACTTCATCAACATCTCTGCTTAGATTTTCATATGATTTCCGGTCTGCATAACTAACTGGCCATCGGTTCCATTCCATTGTACAGCACACCACACTTGCAGGACACATTTCTAGATGTTCAGCGACTTTATTTCGCGCCATGGTAAATGGACATCCAAAGTTACTATTTAAACAAGGTACTCGTTCAAAGGGACACAAGAGTCGATGCTCATCAGCTTTACAAGAATGGAAAACTGCTCCACAAACCAAAGAACAACCAATCAAGTCACAGGAAATCCCAGGCTCTGGTCTGGTCATACACCGTCTACTGACACAGTTCACACAGTGTGAGTGCTGCTGCACCTCTTCTTCCATAATGGCCAGCCCAGCTCTAGTTTTTCAAACAGAAAAAGGTAAAGAAAGTCATTAGACAAAAAAAATGGTTAATTTTTCAAAACTGTATAATAAATCAAATCATCAATATACTTTAGGTTATTCTTAAGAATGAAATATGTAAAGCAGATACAAACATTTAAGTGGTTAATTTGACATATAATTAATAAACCCTAAAGGAGCTTAAACACTTTTAGTAACAATCTAGTATTTTAGTAACAATCTAGTCATAGTTTCACATTTACATACTAGGTAACGATAATATGCATCTTATCGCTTCCAAATATAATATTCAAAATATAGTATCATATACTAAATAAATTATAATAAAAGTGTTATTTTAACTCCCAAATTTCGGAGAATACTATAGATTTTAGCTTTTAAATTTCAATTAACTTGATTTTGATATGCCTCATTGCAGACCCCTCATCATGTTGTTGAAAATACATGAATATATATATTACTTCTGAAGGCCATCTCTCATTCACTTTACTAAATATGAGTTTCTTGCTAGTCCCTAGGTACCAGGCACCGTGTTCTCTCTAGCAATATACAGGGGAATTAGTATCTCCTCTTGAAGGAGTTACAAAACTTGATCACATTATGTGGGTCAATACAATAGGAGGAAAATGGAAGCACAGTGAAGACAATTAGCATAGAAAAGCAGCAGGGTAAATTACTAAGAAAGGGAAATTCATTTTGAAGTAACGGCAAATGAATCGACAAAATATGTTCAATCTTCCTAATATTAATGGATTATGGTGAAATGCAAGAAAGTCGTGAGAAATGAGGCCAAAAGGGAACTTGGCCAATGTAACGTGCTAGTCTATGGATTTCAGTCTTTTAGTAAGTGAAAGTCATTTTAACTTTAAGGGAGGGGAAACTATCTATGAAATAACAAGGGATTACAGACACTCATCTTTTTAATTTTCTATTTATTCTTTGTGTCTTTTACATTATGTCTCCACACCACATCTCTGAACCTCACCCATCTCCTTACCCCCCACAAGGATAATAAAATTTAAGAGAAGAAATGCCCTTCCATGAGATGGGGGTTCTCATTACGGAAGCTGCAGTGTGACACAGAGTCACACAGCAAACCCCTCCATCCATAGATTTTTTACATGCAGGCACTCATCGAAAGAATAACTGGTCTGGTTCGAGGTCCCTGGTTTCTGCGACTCTTCCTGGACATTCCATTGCTGCCCTGTGTCATGGAGATCTTGCAGTCCTGGGTCCACAAGAGTAACCCACCCAACCACCCACTCCATGCTCCAGGAGACAACAGATGGGATGGATGTTAGGGTGGGTCAACACATAACCCTGGTCCTGGGCCTAGGAAATTGCAGGGTTGGTCAGTCCACCAATTCTCCCTTGTCCTCACCACCAGAGTGACCTCTCCTGCATTGCCCACGCTAGTTTACCTCCTGCAGCAAGAAGCAAGGGGTGGGGCCACTTCTCCCACTTTCACATCCTCAGGGTTGGGTCTCTCATACCTACACCACTATGTTGTACAGGAGACAGGTAGAGCTTGCTCTCCTGAGTGCGGCAGCTGATGAGAGTAGGGCCAGCTCTTCCACCAGCTTCAGGTGTTGATGGGGTGAGATGGGGTGAGGTGGGACGGCAATCTCTCCTCCACCCATACCTGACCTGACAGATGAGTAGGCCAGTTTTCCCATGCTCACTACTTCTCACCCACATTAACACCAAGGGAGTTGGCTCTATGTGCTGCCTGCCCATGGGAGGTGCATGGCCTACTCTCCTGCACTCTCTCATCTTAAAACTGATTGTTTTTTTTTAACATTGCACCAAGCAAAGTTTACACCAAAAATAAGAGAAAGTGTAAGCAAAATATGCTGACTTAACTGTAAGCTTATTCAATACATTTTTTTTTCTCCTAAAATCTTTAACTGTTTCATTTGTTTCTATTAGCGGTGAAGTTAAAAAATACCTGTCTTTTCCTATCATTCTTATTTCCAAGTCAAATTTTAAGAAAAACAACCCAAAACGTGTAGTTTCCTATGCACATATTCAGCGGCCCTCTCATCTGTTTTTATTATTACTACCCCACATTAAGACCAAGGTCCTCATCAGTCTAAAGGGCTCTTTTTCTTCTTGCCTCCTCTAGCTCCCATCCCCTTGGCTGTACCTTCCCTTTCCCACCTTATCACAGTTAAGCAAGTTCCCTCTTATCTCTCTGGATGTGATGGAGGAGGGTCATCTGTCTATCTGTTGCTTTCATTGGTTAATTAATTAAAAAAACCTGCTTGGCCTAATAGTTCAAAACAGAGGTGGGTAGAGTAGACAGAACAAAATGCTAGAAAAAAGGGAAGTGAGGCAGACACCTCAGACAGATGTCATGCCTCTCCTCTCCAAGATGGACACAGGTTAAGATCCTTCCCGGTAAGCCACCACATGGTGCTACACAGATTAATAAATATGGGTTAAAACAAGATATAAAACTTAGCCAATAAGAGGCTACAGATAACGGGTCAAACAGTGTTTAAAAAAATATAATTTGTGTGTTGTTATTTTGGGGCATAAGCTAGCCCTGCGGGAGCTGGGCTAGAATGCAGCCCGCTGCTCCTATCACTACATGGATGGTCTTTCCTTAAATACTAATTTTCTTCAGGGTTTCGTGTCATTTTTCATGACATTATTCCTCCTGGGTGTGCTAGGTATTTCCAACTTTCACTTACCATCTATAGGCAGAAAACTCTTCTTACATGCTGCCTAAAAATGTTCCAAACTCCAGACCTCTACACCTCTTTATAGTTCTACCTGTACATTGCAGAGGCAATTCAACTTGGTGTTTTCAAAAATAAATTATACTGCAGTGTATAATTTCTAAATACAAAGATTCATAGCCTATTTTTTTCATTGGGTGCAGATTACTGCTGACTCTCTAGCGCGTATCTCCATAAATTCTAGATTGGTTTAGATGGGTAATCACTCCACAAATTGTTACAACTTTTTTTTCTGGTTGAAGACTAACATTCCTCAACAGGAATAGCAAAAATCCAGCTGTTACCAACAAGCACCTCTGTACGAGTAGCAAAGTCCCAAGTTGATATGGTGATGGTCAACAATGCCAGGGAACAATGTACACATTCAACACCAAGTCAGCTTTAAATTGTGCTTAAAAATAACAGCATGAGATAAATACTTCCAAAAATGTTGTTTTCTTACAAATAGGCAAGAGTTTATTCTAAATTTAAACTAGTTGTACTAAAAGAACAAGAAAGGAAACGAGAGATTAAGTATGGGAAATATTTATAATTAAAGCAATGAAAATGTTTAATAAGAATTAAGACAAACCTTGCTGAGGAATTAGACTGTGAAAAAAGCTGGAGCTTTCTTATTTTGCAATAACAAGACTGAGTTTATCTCACATGCTAGAGGTTAAGCTTGACTGTTGCTAAGAGGGAAACCTCAAACGACAAGCTGTTTCAACAGTGACCACTGCTTTTAGGACTTCAATGAGCACGTTATGTTGTTGCACACACCATCACATAATCACATCAGGCAGAGCACATCTTAAAGATAGCACCTAATTGAAAGGTGCAATTCTGACTAACCTGCAAAAACAGTAGCAACTTGCAAAGGTAGAAGGAGAAGGTTCTTAAGTTTCAAAATAAGTAGCATCTTCCACATTACCCCTTCTCAATAAAAATGTTTTAAAAAAATGCAGCCTCAGCAACACATCTGAAGTATTTTATTACTTTTAAAAGTAAACTTAGAAAAGGGGGTAATATTAATTGTATCCTTCTTAACAAATACCAAGTCAATTTCCTGTAACTCAGAGAAAAATAGTGTTTAGAAGCAGTAAGTGACCTTTCCAAAGTCATCTTATCTAGTTAAGTGGCAAGATAGGACTTAAATGTACATCTTATCAATTTTCATGTGGAATAGCAGACATGTTTACTTATTAAAAAGTTAAGAAAATAGCTCTTTAACAATTGGTGATTCAATTTTAAGATGTTATTTGAGGAATGAAGATTACACAATTTTGCTTGTAGTTTATTCTAACACTTAATCACTCTTGTGGGTTTATAATTGCTAAAGCACATTCCTTTGACCACATGTTTTAAATATGAACATATGAAACAGTATGAATTTAACCATTCTCAATATAGCTATACAAACTAGGAATCTGTATCAAGTTTACTTTATAGTTAAATAAACAAAGAAATAAGAAAATATAACAACAGTCTTTCTAGGGAGAGAGATTTGCTTTCAAACTTTAAAGTTCTTCCAGATTTATCCTTTTTCTAATCAAGATCATTGTTTTAAAATTTAAAAAGCCATCACAGACTATTTCAAATTGCTCATGAATCCTGTGGAACAGGTTTTAAAACTTCAATCTTTGATTTATCAGTTGAACAATGACACAGCAGGCCTAGCAGAAAACATGTTGCTAAAATTATGTCTTCAAGTTCAAGATGAGCTTTATTAAACTCAAGAGGTTTTTAAAAACAAGCTAAAATCAATTTCTATTAATCTACACTTGAATTACTGAAAAGTTTCATTAGACTACACATTATTTGTAAATGATGGAATGTTTTACAATAGTTTCCATTTTCTCTAACAGAAGTTGGTTGCCAACTCATACTCTGTGGCTGACTAGCAATCCTTAAAAATAGTTTTAAGACATGGCATTTTCCCATACAATGAAATGAGAAGTTGCCATTTAAGGCACAGAGACACTACCCCCAACAATTACTCAAAATTCACTAAAATATATAAGGAGATAACATAATCATAAACTAGCAAAATTTAAGACATGCTAAGAAGAGTTGTTTAATGCAACTCATGGCTGTTTCTAATGTCACCAGTTCCTAAGACACACACACAAATACACACACCTCTCCTCCTGATATGCCATGTGTCTCAACTCCAGTTTCAGCTTGTGACCCGCCCTTAGAACCCAAGGCAAGGTCTGGAGCCCTTACAAAATGCATGCTTATTACATGCTGTACTTTAGGGCATTACTAGGGACAACTGAAAATAAATCATTCATTTTTTAAATAACTAGTTCTATAGCAAAGCATAATCTCCAAGACACAAAACTATCTCTGTCTCATACCATCCTTATGTTTTCCGAATTCAAAATTGTGCTTTGAGATTCATTCGTGTAAATATACAAATGAAAGAATAAGTAAATCAATTCCCATTCTTGATTTCATGAAAATATACCACGACATAATAAAAACTTACAGATTTAACATTTCAAAATTAGTTTAAAACAAAATATCTCAACCAGTCACACAGAGTTAATGGTGTTCAAACACTTCCTAAGCACCTGGATAATGTGTCCTGGGTATCATATTCATATATATATATATATATATATCGTATTCATATATATGTATATATGAAGAAAAAGAGAAAGAAATAATAGTAAAGACAATCAAAAGGTAACTTCAATTTTCTACGTTTTTAAAACCTTAGAAATGGGGCTGGAGAGATGGCTCAGAGGTTAAGAGCATTGCCTGCTCTTCACAAGGTCCTGAGTTCAATTCCCAGCAACCACATGGTGGCTCACAACCATCTGTAATGAGATCTGATGCCCTCTTCTGGCCTGAAGGCATACACACAGGTAGAATATTGTATACATAATAAATAAATATTTAAAAAAATAAATAAAACCTTAGAAAACTGAATATAGAGAAAAGTATCAGGTAAAATAAGGGAAGACAATAGTTGTTGCCAGTACATGTACAGGTGAGCAGGGCACAAAGGAAAATCAGCTCAAAATATGAAGTGGCAGCAGCCTGACTGACTGCTTACCATAGCATTACATTTGTGTATAGATGAAACAGACTTCTACTAAACAAACCTGTTTAATATAAGGCTGATATTAACCAATCTTGTCTAATTAATTATAAGGAAGTCCATTACCAAAATTATCAATTTAGCAACCAGTTACAAGTGTCTCTAGGAAACCTTACCTTTGTATAGTCAGAGGTGCTAGTATCTAGTAAATAGAATCACTGAATGACCCACTAATCAAATAGGTACATTTAGTTTTGAAGATAAATCTATACCTCAGTCATTCTATCTGCTTTTAAAGGGTGGAGGTGGTATCCAGGTAGCTCAGCAGTAAAGCACTTGTCTAGCAGATACAAGTGTTTGGACTCTGTTTTGAACACAGTAAAAACAAAACACAACAAACTTAAATCCGTGGTGGTGGTGGTGGTGGTGGTGGTGGTGGTGGTGATTCAGATGGCTACACATGATGAAAGTTAGATTATCACTAAATTTCCAACTCATAGCACATACTCCCAACCCAAAGGTGTTCTAGTTCCACTATACTGTTGTGGTAACATAAAACATGGATCAAAAGCAACTACAGTGTGGAAAAGGTTTGTTTCAGCTAACACTTCCAGGTCACAGTTTATCTAGGAAAGTCAGGGTAGGAACTCAAGCAGAAACCATGATGGAATGTTGCTTTTTGGCCTGCTCACTGTCTGATGCTCTTCTTATATAGTCCAGGACCATCTATTAGTCTAGGGATAGATAAGACTGGGCCCTCCCACATCAATTAAGACTAAAGACAATCCAGCATGGCATACACCCAGGACAGAGTGAGCTAGGCAATTCCTCAATTAAGGCTTCTTCTCTCAGATAACTCTAGGTTTTGTCAAGTTGACAACTGAGACTAACCAAATGGATAAATGAGTTATATTTTCTAATTATTTCATTAAACTTTACTTCTAGCTTTAAAGAAAAATGAACTAATGGCATGAATATTTATTTTCATGTTCTTATCCATTCTTATGTACTATATCAAAACATGTACTATATTTAAAACATACATCTGTCATTTTTAAACCTGGTCATGGTTAGAGATTTTTAAACAAAAGTTCTAACTATTGACAATTTTCTCCACTAAACAAATAATCAAAGACTTAGATCAGAAATTAAAATAGTAGAAAACATTAAATACCCAGAAAAGAACCTACTTGAATTAATACACAGATAAAAATAGGTCTACCCAAATGGCAGGACTCAGTGGAAGACAGCAAGAGGCTTCTACCAAGCCTCAGCTTTGGATCTTAAAGCAATGATTCTTTGAAAACAATCCAGAATTTCTGAAAAGCTGATTACAGTTATGTCTGTGCTCAATAGTATATAGACATAGTTACCGTCAAGTGGATGTATTCTGCTTTGCTTTATAAAGCTTACTAAATGCAGCTCTATGAGGAACTACCCCACTGCTAACTTTAACCATTCTTTACAACAAAGACACCTTTTTGATTCAAAACAAAAATACCTAGGTTTTAATTGAGGTATATTGTGTCTAATCCTTTCCTTTTAGCATGTACAATAAACAAGCTACTACTTCAGCTTGAATCTCTCCTATCCATCATAGTTAATATGAGACTTAGTGATTTTCACTCAGTCTTCTTAAAAGTTTTATCATTAAATATAATGTATAAATACAATGACATTCTCCAAGAACATGCCCAGCAAGAGTAACTCCTTTTATAAAAATAAACACCAGTCTTAGAAACTTATTTAAGATTATCTAACAGTCATATTTTAGAAACAGGCTATATCAAATAGTAAACACATCAACTAAAGCCTGTTTGAGTGACCTTAAAGCACCTTTCCAATCACGCAGGATGTGTTAATTATTTTATGCAATATTACTTTTGAAAGCATATTTGATTTAAGTATTTTATAACTTAAAACAAAAATATACAAGAAACCCCAAACACGAGCCTAAAGACTCAAAAATACTGGATTGAAATTAAACGAATACCACAAAGGCAAACTTCACTTTCATATACTACTCATAAAACTATTTCTAGAATCACATATACACATACAAAAGCTTATGTCACTGTATTAAGTATCAGGTACAAGCTGCCAATCTAAAAAGTTAGCAAAACACCATGTTGTCCCCAACTAAACTCCTACAGTAAAAAACAGTGACTAAGCATAAGGAAGAGTGAGTGCTTCAACACGACAGCAGAGGGAACGCGCGCCTTAGAGAAACCCAGCAGGAACCCTTCATGTTATTCTCTTCTTTTTGCCAGTCAGCATGGGATTGTCTTGGAAAACTTTTGACACAAAAACGTGCAAACCATGTTAATGTAACTTACTATGTCTGAAATTTAGCAAACAGCAAGTGAAAAGAAATCCAGAAACTCTCTGAGACTTCGTATTAAAACTTTTAACCCTCACTGATACCAGAATGCCCATAAATAACTTCATTTTGGATCACAGTCAACAAAGCAATCATGGGAGAAAAGGTCAACTCCTTCCCAAGCATCTTTTATCCGGGATTTAACCACAGGACTCCAGAAAGGGAGGGCAGGAGAACCACGGTAAACACGAGCCGCCATCAAGGTAAAAATGTATTCTAGTCCCGGGTGACTCTGCATCCACCGTGCGTTCCACGTCCTGCTTCCAATCTGGGACTCCGTAAGCAAGACCCAGAAACTTGCGGGGAGAGTCCAAAGTTTCCCTTTAACAAGGGCCAAGGCTAAGCCTGGGCGCCTCTCACTTCCATGAATGGAAAAGTTACCAACTTCGCTCATCCCGAGCAGACAGTTGGAGATGCCTCGCAGACCTTTAACCCGTTTGTGCCCAAACCACCCCAGTTCATTTCCCACAAGCCAGAGGGGGCGACCCCGGCTCCCCGGGGTCCTCCGTGCACACGGAGAGGGGACCTCACCGGGGTCTGCGTCCCCGGGGGTCGGGGAGCCATTGGCCGGGCGGCTCAGAAGGCCACACACAGAGACGACCGGGCGCGGTCCCGTGTCCCTGTCAAGCAGAACAGGCCCAGGGCTGTGCCGACTCCACCGGGCCCGCCGCCCCCTCGGCCCCGCGTCGTCCCCGGCCGCTAACCCGGCGCAGCCCCGTCGCCCGCGTCCCCGCGCCAGCCTCCCGCGGCCTCGCCACACTCACCGGCCCGCGCGCCCGCAGCGCCGCTCAGGCCCCGGCTGCCCTGGCCGTCGCGCCCGGCGACTCCGCACCGTCACCGCAACCGTACCGAGCACGAAGCCCGGCCCGTCCGACCCCTCTGAGCCTCCGCCCCGGCCGGACCGCCGCCTTTTCTCCTCGGCCTCCAACCGCCACCGCCCTCCTCGTGCGCCCCGCCCCGCCGCGCCCCGCCCCCCTCGGCCCGGCAGCGGGCCCGCGCACGCACGGCCGGCGAGGACGCGCACGCTGTCCTCTGCCGGGGCCGCGACCTGGGGAGGGCGGACCGGAGAACGCGCTGGAGAGCGGCTGGTTAGGTGCGTCCCCGCCTCTCCCGGTGGTGCTCCCGCTGCTCGCCTCCCGCCGTGCTCCCAGCCCGGGTCCGCTACCGGACCTTGCTTTTCGGGAAGGAATCCCAGAGCTCCTGTGGCACTGTAGAGGACGCTGGCACCGAGGAGCGCGCGTGACCCGTGCTTCTCGCTCGCCGGCCCGCTCGCACTCGCAGGAAATAGGTCAGCTCCCGGTTGTCGGTGGTAACGGCCACCACCTCACGTGCCCCAGCCCTGTGACTCGGTGACCCGTTTCCCCTTGTAGGACTCTGCTGCCCGGCAGCCCGCTGAGGACGGCTTCCGTGGGCGACCCACGCGGCCTCCAGAGGGCGCGGCGCGACTTCTGGGAAACACCTTGGGGACAAAAGCGCGGTCACCCTGCTACACACAGTGCCCGTAGGCGGCCCGGTTACTACTGCCGGCCCGGCTGTGCGGCGGGGCGGGGGACAGTGATGTCACCGACGCCCACCGTCTGGAGGCCTCATGCCCACTCCCATCCCAAAACGGTCCTGTAGGGAATGGGGCGGGGCAGAGGAGAGAAAACCCTGTTGTGTGCTCCTTCTGTTGACTGCATTTGTACTCCAGCTGTTGGGAACGATGGCTCACAGGCTTCAACCGTCCTGAAGGGACTGGCTCTTTAGACTTCTTCACCTGAAAGATCTGCACGCTCAAGTAACAACACAAAACCCTGGGGTGCTTAGCCAAAAAAAAAAAAAAAAAAAAAAAAAGGACTGTAAAAGTCCTTTTGTTGTTGTTTTTTAATGAAGAAATTTGTTTTTTTGGAACATTCAGGACGTTTGGATTGTGTGTTGCTCTTTTTTTTCCTTTCTGTTTTTTGTTTTGTTGTTTTTGTTTGCTTATTTTTTAAGATTTGGCTATAGGCAGGCTCTTGTCCTCAGACCAAAGTGTTAGAACCAAAGGGGCCAGGGTAAGAAAAGTGAAGCGGGCAGGTGAAATGGTGGAAAACTTGCTTCTTCTGTACACGTGGTCGCGATTGAGTCACACACTCTTCCATTACAACACCTTTTTACAAAAATAAGGGATTCCAAAGGCATCCTATTATTAAATGATAGTATTAGTTGTACTTTGGAGCTTTGTGCTTTTTTTTTTTTTTTTTTTTTTTTTGGTTTTTGGAGACAGGGTTTAGTCTGTGGCTTCGGAGCCTGTCCTGGCACTAGCTCTTGTAGACCAGGCTGGCCTCGAACTCACAGAGATCCACCATGCCTCTGCCTTCAAAGTGCTGGGAATAAAGGCGTGCGCCACCATCGCCCAGCTAGACTTTGTGCTTTCCTAAATTACCTATTTGATACTAGGTCACTTTCTCCCTCCTCCAGCTGAGTGGGACTCGGTGCAAGCCAAAAAACCTCTGCCCTTCTGTAAGTGGTAACCAGAGACTCAGATTTCCTAAAAAAAAAAAAAAAAAAAAAAAAAAAAAAAAAAAAAAAAAAAAAAAAAAAAAANAAAAAAAAAAAAAAAAAAAAAAAAAAAAAAAAAAAAAAAAGCAAAAACAAAACAGGAATCACATTTCTTCAAATATATCTACATGGAATTTGGTCTAGACTTGCGACTGAGCAAAGCTACCTTTTCTGTGGCTTAACCACCCAGGGAAGCATCAGGTACTTTGGCAATTTAAAGCAGTATAAAAAATGAATGAATAAGCAGTAGAGCTTTGACCTGTCTACTCTCTAGAGAGAGAGGAACCTTCGTCTGTTCTCAAGTTACATCAATTAACAAAAGTACAAATCCCAGTTTTCTAGAGGTCACTCTCACAGTGGGGTTCGATGAAAATGATAAAACAAAAACTAGGGGACAGGGAAGTTGGTAAACTTTTGGCTGAGCCAGCAGGAGAACCTGAGGTTCCCAGCACCTGTGTAAAAAGTCAGGTCTAGTGGCTAAGGAAATACGAACGAGGATTTAATTCTGGCACTGGGGAGGCAGCGGACCAGCAAGGAGAGAGTAGATGGTTCCTGAGGAATGGCACGCTACGTGCATACACAGAACCTACCCCATAACACCGCAGTCACAAAGCCTGCACACAAGACTAGACTGCAAGAGGTAGACGTTTTCAGCGCAAACTGAGTCCGCCAAACCGATCCTGACAAATCGTCCTTCTATTTGTTCCCTGCCAAGGCTAACAGCATCCAAATTTGAATAAACTTCTGTGCCCAGCTAGCCCACCAGCCTGTGGCCAAAGCAACCAAAAAGTCAAGACTCCAGATTAAGTCATGTGCTAATTAGGGAAAGCATCACTGGCCAGAGACAAGTGTGAGCAGGCAGGGGCAGATTTGCAGCTGTGAAGTCTTGAGACCATGGGAATTCCCAACTGGGACTGTGGTAGGAAGGGCCGTTCCTCACAAGCCAGTTCGAATCACCTAATACCGGGGCCTGAAATTTAACAGCTCCAATTATCTCTCCAATACAAATTCATTGGAAACACGAAAAAATGCGATTGCATCAAGTTGTGTGGGAATTTAGAAGAAACCTCCCAAGAACAAATTTTATAGCTCCAAGCTTTAAATAAGTAATCAAAGGAATTTAAATCCACCTGAAATGTTGGAAAATAGAAGACTCGGGTTTTGTCCGTAAGTACCACAGACCTTTTAAACCATATTGTAAAAAGAAACATGTATATCAGTGCTCCATGTCTTGAGTTAATGAGATTATACTTGTCAATACAGTGCCTAGCATACAGACTATATATTTGCTCAATAAATGAATTACTCTGCCCTTCCCCAACCCCGAAGCGGAGCCTGTGGAAGTGTTGTTGCACGTCAGGTGACTAGCATTTGGTGGTACTCCGTGTCTGGGATGGGAGGTGAGGATGTAAACAGGTGGACTCAGATGGAAATGACAGTCATCCATCTAAAACTATCTGTGTAACTACACTATCAGTGTTTAGTAGCGAGGTGGTGTTTAATTTCTGAATATAAAATTTTCACTCAGAAAAAAAGAACTGATATACATTAAAAGGCTAGAAGAAACCAATTTTAAAACCCCATAAGTGAACTCAGCCCTACTGTTCTCTGTTGGAGGGGTAGCAAAGACAGATGCCACCAGCTAAGGCCATGGTTAACAAGTGGACCCAGAGGGAGCTGTTGGCAGCAGACAAGCACTGTTTTAAGTTGTTCTGCTCACCCTCTGTGGCACCTGGCCGCAGAGAACATAGTAGCTCCACTTCTTCTGATCCTGAGAGTCCAGCTAATTACACGAAAGCCGTATGATGTATGCATGGCTGGAGGTGGGAGGGATTCAGTCACCACCGAAAAGCTGACTTTTTAGTGAGCCATAAAAATGACAGACTAGAAATTTGTAGTTATTTCTAGGAATAGCCTGGTTCTTAAACCATTGGCGTGTCACTTTCCTCTAGAATGTAATTCCTGTGCTGGATGTTAATTAGCCCTTAGTTCCTTTGGAAAGTCCCCTCTTGTGCCTGACTCTAAGGTCGCTGTGACCCATGCCTCCTAGGAGTTGTAAATGTGTCTAACTTCACCTTGACATTCCTGGGCCCTGTAATTTGCACATTGTTATGTGCAATGTTACCAATAGGATATGTCAAAGGCCAACACCCCTGATTTGAAAGACTTTTCCTCCTTAGGATTTTTATGAAGCAAGTTGTTACTCTGGGAAGCCCACATTTTGTGGAATTGGAGGGACACCAATGACAACAGTGGAGATAAATAGATCCTAGAAGACAAAACAAAACCAAATGTTGAAGAAGACGCTTTCTTCACATTTACAGTGGTGCTGATTAGTAGAATAGAAAGACAGTTTTTACTGTTATTGGTAGTTACCTCTGAAAGTCATCTATGGGTCCAGAGAGATAGCTCAGCCATCAAGAGCCCTTCCTGCACTTTCAGAAAACCCAAGTTCAGTCCCCAGTTCTCACATAAGGCAGCTCTTAGCCCCCCCAGTTCTAGGGGATTCAAGTTCCTTTTCTTGGCTCCTCTGTTGCTTTATTTACCTGCACAATCCACACCCAACAGACACACCTATACACGAATTAAGAATAGTCTTCTTTCTCTCTCTCTTTTGTTTTTTGTGTTTTGTTTTTTTTTGAGACAGGGTTTATCTGTGTAACCTTGGCTGTCCTGGAATTCACTCTGTAGACCAGGCTGGCCTCAACTCACAGAGATCTGCCTGCCTCTGCCTCCTGAGTGCTGGGATTAAAGGTGTGCATCACCACTGTCCAGGAAAAATAGTCTTATTAAGAGTTATTTGTATTCTGATAGTATTTTGCTAAATTTGTGATATAGGGGATAGAGACCATATTTGTGCCATCTGATACAAAAATTCATTTAAATAAACCATGTTACAACAGAATTCTAACATAAACCTATGTCAAAGAGACATAGTATTTCCCACCACAGGAGGTCCTTGAGAATATTTTTTGAAAATAAATCATTTAAGCTTTAAAATTCTTTGTTTATTACAAAAGTCAGTCCATATATGATTTTTACTGATAATGTGCTCTAATTTTCCTAATGAGTATTCATTAACATTTCATTAATATTAATTAAGCATTAGATATAACGACCTGCTAATGAGGCAAAGCTCTATGATTTTACTGTAATTCAGAAGCACTGGGGAATGAAGACACAGTGCATTTGGAGTCAGCCACTGAAATACAAGCGGTGTGAGCATGCACTGCTCAGGGGTGACAGTCTTGTGTCGACTGGAGAGGCCACACATTTCTCTGACCTGCTCCACCCTGCTTGCCTCTGACTGTGTGACCTATGTTCTTGGCCTAGATGGCTGTGTCATGGCTACTGCTGGCTGCCTCCTGCATTGTTCTAAGCCAGGCTGGCCCTGGTCCACTTCATTAGTTGTGACCCTCTGTCTCCCAGCCCTGCTCTCACTCACTCAGCTCTTATCCTTCCTGATTCTATTGTCAGTGAGGAAGAGAGACATGCTGAAAGGCTGATGGCTGGCTGGCTGCTTATGGTGGCTCATGCCTGTAGGAAACCTGTTGGGTTATTAAAGCTAGCCTGCCTTCATATTTCATTCCCAACATGTCTGAGAATTAAGGCACCTTACACAGTAAATGGAATAAACTAATAGTTTATTATTAAATACATTTCTTTGTTTAATATAAAATTCCAGAATATGTTGCTTTGGTCACTGCACTGATTTGGTGTGGTGCTTTGGACTTGTCTGATAACTGCTGTCTCGGGTTCTACACATCAACTCACACCACTGTGTTCCCTCATCTTTATGAAGCATGTCAATTGTTTCTTTTCATGCTAGTTTACAAGGAATGGAATTACTTGAGACACGGGTTTGTTTTTATTTTTATGGATACCATGAATTATGTGAGCCATCAGACTGCTCACATCCCATTGTCTGTCAGAGTCAAAGCTTTAATTCCAGTTGTGATTTGATCTTGCAGTTTTTGTTGAACTCT